GCATTACAAAAAGTAGATTCTATTTAAACTTAGCATAAATCAGTACTACTATTTGTTAACTTTATTAGTATTAAAGTTGATTCTGTTAAGCATCTGCATTGGAGACATTTTGTATGTGTCTTTAAATATAAAATTATTAAAANTTGAGTAAAAGNAANAAANNNANTNTTTTTNNTTGAANTAATNNGGTGTATTNAAATATAAAATTAATAAANTTTGAGTAAAGAGATGAGATAGTGGGTATTATTGGAGAGAGGATGTCTTGGGAAAGACAAAGTTGGAGAGAGAATGGGTGAAAGTTTGAGTGTGTTTAAATATAAAATTAATAAAAATTGAGTAGAAGGATGAAAGAGAAGGTATAAAGTTGAATAAAAGGAAGAAAAAATGTGTTTTTAATATTTTTTTATTTAGAGACATCCACATTTTGTCTCCAATGTGGATGGTCTACAAGACGGACATGAAATGCATTCTTTTGTGAATTCATACATCAACTCATATAACCGTGGCGGATTGTTGGTGTATGAATAAGCTGTTTTCTCTAGTATTATGGTATTTGACTGTATGTTATCAGTTTATATACATTATTATGTAGAGGCCATAAATTTTCTGAATCATAAAATATTTAATATGCTTTAACTGGTGATTTATTCAAAATGTTTGAGATGATTTTCTAACTAAATGATAAAAAAAAAAGCCAAACAGAATGTTAATAATCGATACACACACAGTACAAAATAAAACGGAATACTATTTGCTAACTTTATCTGCTTATCATTAAGATTTAAGTGTACCTTATCAGTAAATATATACGCTGAGTATAAATTACTCAATAAGTTATACATTATCAGTAGAGGCCACAAATTTTCAAAGTCATTAAGATTTACTTTTTTTGGTGAATTTAAATTGTTTGAGATGATTTTCTAATTAAAATTAAAAAAAAAACAGAAACAAAATGTTAATAATCGTACACATACACAAATATAAACAACATAAGTTGTAACCATTGGACAAAATTACCCGAATAAGTTGTAGATGAAATAAACTATCTGTGCTTCGATCGCTCTACGACTTTGCCTTCACCACGGACATACATTTATCTGGAGTTAAGATGTGTTGGTCTTTGCGGTATTCTGATGAGCGGCCGCGTATATGGATGAATTGGGATCGGTTTTGAGGTGAGAGAGAAGGTGTTGGACATCTGGTCGGAGAGAGTCTGCTGCTTTTCCGATTAACGCCAAGATGTCTGGTCTCGGCTTGCTGCTAGCTTGGACAGCTCCTCCTTGTCCCTCGTAGTGAACTACATGGTGTCTGCAGCATTTTTGAAAACGAGATAAAAGACATGCTCAGTAATGTGAAACAGAGTCTCGCATAGAACCAGTTGACATCTAATCATATAAACAAAGCCTCTCAAGATCACACACGAAGATCGATCAACAACATATGGTTTACATGATCCATATGTTTGTTGCAAGGTAAACACTTGGGCGGCTTGGGATGGAGAAAAGAGCTATATGATTGTCTAAACAATAAAGAGAACAAGTCAATGATGGTTTAGGAGCTTACAGGAAATCAATAAGATCTGCAATCTGGGATGCTTCTACAGGAACTGTTGTCTGAGAGTTCTTTCCAAAAACTTCGACCAATGTGCTCAAGAGAAGGGTTAGCGTCTGTTACGAAGAAAAAGAAAAAGAACACCAAAGTCAAATCAGACAAGAAAACTCATAGTCTGGTTTGATGAACATCATCTGGAAATGGAAGATCATTTCAACTATGAGAGACAGCGTGCGTTTTAACATGCTTAGAGCAACAGTAAATGAAACCACGGATCGCCTTTTGTAGTCCCTGCTCGTAGACGACAGCTACAGAAATTATATCCAGCCATAAGAGTACCTTGTTAAAAAGCGTATGTGTGTTGGAGAGCCTCGGGAGCAGTGGCCCCATAATACGAAATGCGACTCTGAGCATTGCAACAGATGTCACAGGCCGGAGGTTCTTGATGATGACATGCGTGCCATCAAGCCATTCTTGTGGGAGATTGCTGAAGAAAGCATGGAGCAAAGCGACTATATTTCCTGGAAGAAGACACAACGATACACATGTAAAAACAACACACAAACAAACATTCACCTCTAGATTCAGAAGCTATCAAGTACCTATGGCTGTGGAGGTGTTGTCCTGAGCAGCCCATGTAGGATCCATCAAAGCATATCCAACAGCCGAGTCCAGTTCACCCGCTGATCTCTTATCGTCATTCAGCCACCATGTCTCCTTTATAACACGTGACGCCTCCATGTAAAGCTGCATGTGGAAATCTGGAGGCAGCTGAGCCAGCAAAAGTCCACAAGCTTGGATCAGCAGACACGACAGTTGTTGGCATGTATAACCGCTTCTAGAGACGAAGCTAGCCGTGTTGATACCAGGAATCACACTAGTGGACCGGCTAGCGCTCATGGAGTCAGTGCTCCCTCCTGAGGGAGACGTAGGCAGTACCGACCCTTGCCCCACCCCATTTGCAGCGCCATGGAATCCATTGCCAGATTGAATCAGGGTTGATTGTATGTTGACAATTATCTGGACAAGCGAAGAGACAATCTGAGCAGCGGAGACAGGAAGCGAGAGGATCTCGATTACGGCTGTCTCAAGAACCAATTGAGTGTAAGTTCCCGGGTCCTGGATCTGATAGAATGCTTTCTGGCCCTCAGAGGCGTTTGCTGGTCCGGGTTGAGATACTCCTGGAGTTTTTCCATGAGGAGGTCTCGCTGAGCTGTTTAAGATATTTGCCATTGAGCCAGACCTCGAGCTGCAGTTGCTGCTGCTGCTAAGTGGAGGTATAACGTTGTTTACGAGATTAAGCAGCAAAGTGGCGAAGTAATCCAGAGGTGGGCATACGGCGGGAATGGCAGGAATGGCAGGACTGGCAGAGCTAAGGTGCTGCGGGAATGATTCTGAGAATGGAATCTGCAGAAATGTAGAAAGAGCTATAAGGTTTTGTTTACTCGAATGAGGAAACAGTTACGGTCAAAGGCATCTACATAAAATGGTGAGAAACAAATAAAAACAGCGTATAACATTTTTTTTCTTCGGCATTATTACCGAATTTATGAATGAAAATGAAATGAACAATCATTAAGAAAATGGAAAATGACATCTGGTTTGAATGTATTCACAGTGGAAAGATCTGGAGACTCAGATATATATGAAGCTTATCATATAAAGAAATTTACTAACCCTGCTAGAAAATCTTCACAAGTGGAACAATTTCTCAGTAGTTAATCAGAATACGAGAAAACAAGGACTCATGCTCTAGTAAGAAATGAGATAAAGAAACAAAAAAAAAATAGTAGAAATAACTTTATGAGTTGAAAGATGAGTAGGCTTTCAGTTATGTGGTAACTGTATTCGATAAGGAACCAAATCAAATGAAGCAATCTTCAACAAAAAATTTTAAAACAGAAATAGCGATATCACCTTGAGATTTTTTTTTCAATTACCTTGCTGAGATCAAGTACTTTGAGAATGCGCACAATAAGTTTCGGGGGAAGATGACCATAGAAATAGGCGAGTATGTCACGTACAAACGTGAATCTGAGAGGATGATAAGCCAGAAAATAAGAGTACACACTCAAAAGATTATCAGCTGCCTCAACCGCATCGTTCTCGATGAGCCTGTACACCACTAGAGGCATAACTGGAAGCAAACGTGCCGCAACATCATCAAAGAACGTTGGATACCTGGGTTTAACACAGTAAAAAATGCAAAACATTTTCCCAATTTTAACAGAATGCGACACAAAATTGCCAAGACACATCAAAAATATTTCACACATTTCCAGGTAACACGCAAGTTTGCCAAAGTTTTCATGAAAGGTTCCATCACACATCCATGGGTGAATGCGAACAAAACCCTTCAAACTATCAAGCCATGTAATTCAATGAACTCTTGTTAGAAATCAAGCTTTAGATACATTACCTGTCCTTCCAAGAAAGATGGTTACCAAGGGCCTTCTGGAGTTCATTGCGGTTGAACACCTGCGTGAAAAGCCAGTGCTCAGGAAGCCCACGGTTTGCGCAGTACAGTTTAATCCTCTGTTGAAGGTCCGGCGAGTGAAGTAGGTTTATCTGTAAATAAATTGAAATAGGCTTATCTGTAAATATATTGAAAATAACATCCATAAATTTCATATGATCCTAAGCTTCTTTCACGTAAAGACAAGAACATACTGCAATTCTCAAGGCGTACGGATCATCATCGCGGTCAATGAGCGACAGAAGAAAAATGTCGAGAGGAAGCATTTCGTGTGTAAAGAAGAAAAATGCAAGATTTGCATCTACCTTGGCTATTGTATCCTGAAAAATAATAGGATGCAATGTAGGAAGATGGATAAGCAACAAAAACAAAAAAAGGATAAGCAACAAAAAGTGAGGTCAAATTTCTTCAAACAAACAGAAGAGGAACCTTTAAAGAGAGCCCTTGCTGAAGGTCTATATGAATGTGGTGAAGTAGAACATCTACCAAAGTGTATATGTTAGCAGTGACTTCTTCAGGAGAAACTTCTCTCAGAACCCGTGCCTGATAACCATTTCGAAAAGAGCGAATCATACGACTATCAGTTAACAAATCGTTCACAAATGTGAAGCAACTAAGCAAAACAAACCAGATTTGCGCTGTTGATGTTATCAGGGTGGCCTTGCATCAGTAGACAAGCACCAGCACATAGATACTGACGGTGTTGAAAAAAACTGTGACTGAGGTATGTCATAACATAAGCGGGTTCAGCAGATGGTGAGAGAAGCTGAGTACACTGGTTTATCACAGTGGTTTCAGCCTGTTGCCACGCTTGAATTGATAGGCCCCTCTTGTCTACCCGTCCAAACAAAGTGTCACCGAGAAGAGATGGGAAATGGCGCAGTGTCTTCTCTGACCACGTATGCTGACTTGTTGCGAGTATTTGTTCCAACATGGTTTGCAGATAGACAAGGTGATCAGCATCTGCGATACCACGTGTTTTGATTGTGATAGCAAGAGTCATGATGGTTATGCGGTTTAATGTTTCAGTGAACTCAGTTGGCCCCTGATGATAATAACATAAGAACAATTATTTACACCTGAATCATCCTGGCACAAGATAAGTAGGGGACAGTGAATTTGAACTCAATACATTCACTTACTTTTCCCTCTCGTTTCACAGAAAAGAAGTCTCTGAGTGATAAAATGAGATTCATGCATAAGTTTTCAGCTAGCCTGAATATACGGTGGTCACCACGTTTTCCTTTCAATGCAGAGATTATTTTAGTAACATCATACATTAAAGTTTTGCTCTTTCCTTGGTATCTGCAAAAGGTGCATCATGAAGATCAGCAATTTTGTTTAGTCGGGTCAAATAGTCAACACGGCGAAAGCCCAAAGCAATTTTCATCTAACTAAAATGACCCAGCTGAAAAGTTTAAAAGAATCTACTCCAACATGAGAACCTTTCACTCTTTTTACCTGTATAGCGGAAGCAAACGATAATTCAGAATCTCAAGGACAAGCAAAGTCACCCCAGGCTTGCTTAGCAGAGAAGCATTTCTCTGGGCCAATTGCTGCAGAAATCAGCAAATCTCATAAATTGCTAATGACCAATAGAACAAAAATAAAACATAAGATACCGAGAATAAAAAGGCATCAGAAGGAACCGGATAGCTTACACTGAAATGCGAACGGAACATTGAGTGAGGGGAAATGAGCAGCAATCGTGTGTATGTCTCAACCATTGCAATGCTAGGAACAACCTGCACCCAGATGTTTTACTACGACACTAAACTCATTTTGCTCAGGAATTAAAACCTGATATAACACTTTGAAACAATCAAATTGATAAAGTTGTTTACTGGACAGTGGAGAAATTAGGTCACTAAGTGAAACTTGCCAAACAAGATGTTCTCCATAGATCAGTGCATCACTTAACATATATATAATCCTTTTGGGACAAAGTAAGCAAACCTGGCTAACAAACAAAGCTTCTTCCATCTGAAGGGCCAATTTCAAGCATAAGTTCATTGAAAAGCCAGATAACAATGACATCGGTAATGGGGTCACTTCCTGCATCATCATCACTCTGTCGTTTGGCTGTAATCCCGGCAACTCAGCCATGCCAGCTGAAGATAACCAATTTATAACTGTTTCACATGCCGGTTGTGCCATGGTGTAGGAAACAACCCAAAACATGCCAATCGATTTATCATCCATATTCATATAATCCATCATGCGCTCTCCTGAAAACCCTAAACAAGAAACAGAATGAGAGGACAGTTTTCATAATCTGAGAATTTTCTGTGATTTCTACTCCAAGCCCTGCCATTGAAACAATATGTACCGTTGCTTCTCCACCACTCATCGATCTGTTTTCCCTTCAGCAGTTGTTCATTATTTAGGAAATCCCTAGTTGTTGAGCTTAGTGACCAAATCCGTAGATTCTGACAACTGCTTACGAAGTCAAGCAACACACTCTGAGGATTGTTCGGATCAGAGTTTCTATCTTCCCTGTGAAATGATAAGATCTTCCTAGTAGTTTCCACCTGAGAGAAAACCCAAATAGTGCACAAGTTGCGATGTCAAGTTTAAAGAAAAGGAAGTAGAATGAACTGAATTGCAGTTGTAAACATATCATGGTTATTGAATAGCGACCTTTTTAGCATCAGAGTTCAAAGCAGTCATCACAAGCTCCACGCGTATTATTTGTGCAAGCAACCACGTTACATGATTTGTTCGAAGAATATGGTTATCAACACCATTAAGTCGTAAGACCAACTTATCAATGAAATCAACAAAATCAGTACACCCACTTTTGATTAGAAAGAAGAAAATATCTGAGAAAACTAGCCACTCTTGCCAGCAATTAGCATCTGCATAGATAGGGGGAAAAGCAACAGATACCAAATCAATATCTCAACTCTTACTTTTATGTTTTTCTATCTAAGCCTAACGAATGAACTGTGAACCATTATAGAACTTTCAAACTTAAAAGAAAATATGTTATTAACAGACTGGGAAAATTAGCAACACCACATGCTCATTTTTACAGATTTAAAAGGAAGTGACAGATCAAAGACATGAGTGATAAGGAAAGACAAACATCACCCGAGTTGGACAGCTTAAGAAGCTCAACAATCCTGTCAATGATTGCCTCACAAATCATGTCAGAAGTGAAAACAGCACCAGGGATAGGCCCTGATTGGGAAGAAGGTCTATAACAGGGGGCCACAACAAGGACACGTTTCCACCAGTCCGGTGACGGTGTAGTGCGAATAGCATGTCTAATGCAGCGCACTGCTCTCTCCCAATCCAGGCTTCCTTTTGGTATAGACATTGCCAGATCCTGCCACAATGTGAAAAGAACAAAAAAAAAAAGGAGGATTAAAGTTCATAAATTGCCTGCCTAATGCAAATCATGTACATTACGCAATAACACCAACAGTAAACTAAGAATCTCCATAATTTCATGGGAATCACCTCTCCATACAAAGGTTCCCCAAGCACACTTGGGTATGTAATTGGTGAATAGCGAAGGTGAGCCACAGCTTCAACTGAAACATTGGGAGTTGTTTGGGACAATATACGATGGGTACCAAACGTTGGACAGTGAAGATGTTGGTCCAACATGAGCATGTGCATGGCCATCGCATCTCGCCTTCGGTGTATCTCCATAATAAGAGTGAACAAGGCTTCATCATCAGGTATATTCTCTATAAACTGTAGACCACTGCGCAACAACTCATAAAACGGAATTCGAGATTCACCTTCTTCTACCAACAACCAGATCACATCCAAACAACTACGTAACCATTCAGCTAAAGTCTTCTCAGATCTCCACGACTTTCCTGCAATATCCTCAGTTCCCAGATCTCTCCTGTCCCAGTTCACAAGCCAATTCATCATGCACTGGAAAATCTCGGCATGAGTGACTGGTTTGAGTTTATATTCAATGCCAATCAGAATAATCTTGCAACTGAGCTGGCGTAGACTGTTTATAGCAGCAGCTCTTACGCGTTGACTATTCATAGCATTCTCTCTTACAGTTTGGCCTGCCCTTGCAATCTGCATCCCATTACCAGCAACATCCAAAGATCTTACAGAACCTGGTTCATTTCCTGAAGGTGCTGGAGAACCAATACCATGAGGTGAAGGCAGCAGTGAGGTTTGGTTGTTGGAATGATAATTAGTGACAGCATTGGAAGGTATAGGAACTAAAGACTGTGAAGAAGTAGAAGACGTTGCTGCTTGAGCAACTTGGCTTATTGTCGCCTCGGTAGCGGAAACCGAAGAGAGTATGGACGGTAAAAAAGTATCCCAGTTAATGTAACTGATTCTACACAATGTACGCAAAGCAAAGAGAAGAAACTCAGCTCTAGGTGCATGATTGCTATTTTGCACAACCAGAGATATCAAAACTGATTCCGTGATCGTCCTCAATTGCTCTGGATCCTGATTAAACCAAACAAAAAGGTCACAACTTTACAACAGAAGATTAGAAACAAAAGAACATAAACCAAACACAAAGGTCACAACTTTACAAGAGAAGATTACAAACAAAAGAACATAAACCAAACCAAAGGTTACAACTTTACAAGAGGAGGCGGCTTACACCGAATTGGCTCTGAAGTTGCTCGAAATCAGAAATGAACTGCTCGTTTCTAGGGGGTAAGTCTCTATTGGGAGCATGAACACGCTTATGGGATTTGTTCCTGTCAAAAACCATAACACTGAGTTCAAATCACCAAACCCAAACATGTAGAATCGTGAGAAATGAGAAAAACCTACGGGGATTCTCGGACGGACTCGTCGGGCTTTTGTCGACTTCCTCTCTGTAAAAGAAGAGAAAGGGTAAAATCATCGAAGAATCGAAAAACGAAAAGAGTCGAAGATGGAGATTAAACAAACCCCTAAGTAGAGATTGAAGAGATCAAGGATTGCAGTACGCGCAGGGTGAAACTGATACGATCGAGAAGATGAAGGAACAGCAGCGACTGTGCGCTGCGACTGATCCATAATTGAGGTTTTGGGTTTTAAAGTTTCTTTACGGATTCAGACTCGGAAGTCGGAACAAATATGAGCTCTTACCATGAAGGTGTTAAAAAGGAAAAATATACTAAGCTTACTCTGACTGATTTGTTCATAGATGAAATTTTAGGTAACAAATCAAAGTTTCAGCTTTTAGTTGGCTTTTTAGATTTTAATGTAGTTGGTAAAAAAAAGAAAGCACCCTTGGTGTCTTTCTCCCGCGTCCGGCGTGTCAAGTGTTCCTTCCCTTTGAAGCTCCGATGAATCGATTAAGCGGTTTCTTCAGCCTCTTCCACTCAAAATAAAAATTAGGTTTGGTCGAGATTTGGTTGATTTGTTGTCTTCATATCACCAGTTCATTTTT